ATAAATAACCGCAGGCGTTTATACAACAAACTTTTCTTTAAATAGTGCAGGAATTCAGTGCCTCTAGCCCCTGAATCTCAATGTTAGTGACTTATTTTGGAACAGAGCGTATTGTATTGCGTGCAGTGGGTTCAGAATGCAGCGAAGAAGGCACAGTTCACGTATCCCTGAACAAGCTACTTAAAAAGATTATTTGTACTGAAATCCTAGAGAAGGAATGCATCCAGCAAGGAACCTACGTCAGGCATTTCTGTTTAGCATCAGATAGCAAACCACTGGAATCATTTTCAAAATACTGTATGAAACAGGACTGCAAACTAAGACTGGGTTGTGGAAGTTACTGACTCATCACCTCAAGCATCTGAAATATTAAAATGAACAACAGTAGCCTTCAAGTTTGTGCATCGCCAAGGAAAAAGTTATCCTCAAATCCTGATACTACCAGCACTGCAGAGACCCATTCTCGGGCAACACCAAAAAAAATGCTGCAAATTCCAGTGTTAGAGCGAGCTCTGCTCCGGGCAGCGGCTCCTGCTCCTCCTGTTCTCGGAGGGGCTCCAGCGGCTGGGGCTGCAGCAGCCACCAAACCACAGCAGCTTGGCTGCAGGAGGGCTTTTCCCCCCCTTTTCATATGCTGTAAAAATCCTCAACTTGCCATTCTGAAGATATAGCCAGAAACATTTAACTTTACATTAAAATTGCACTTTAGAGCAAGAGGCATTTCATCAAGCTTTAGATGCAGTATGCGACACCTCGAGACGAGGAACGATTATCCTGCCCCGAGATCTTTTCCTAGCTAAACTGACAGTAATTGTTTGGGGAGGAGCAGAATAACATGACTTCAAGTGCTTCCTAAAGGACGTCTGCGCTCTGACTAGCGGGCATCATGTTGGAAAGAGATGGGTTCAGTTCCAAACGATTTACTGGACCAGAGCCAAGCCGGTGTTGGGAAAATACTGCAGTCACATGGAAGTAACAGATTCATAAACACTGAAATCAAAGTGTTTAAGACATGGAGAAATTCAGAAGGAATAAGCAGTAACTGAACACAAGAAAGTAATCACACGAATTACAAATATATTTAAATCTTGGACCTGGGGAATATACACAGCCTTTTAGGAAAGAATGAACGATTCTTATATATTCTGACAGCACTGCATCTTTGGTTTGTTTTCGGTGGTTGGAGGGACGTGAATGGGAACCACGTTGTTGCTTGGAGACATATCGTTTTCACGTCTGTCGGACATTTGCTTCTGCGAAACGATACGATAGATCTCTGGAAGACGAGAAAGAGCCGGTCATTACGAGCAACAGCAGCAAAGCAGTACCCGAAACAAGCTGGGGAAGCCAAGCATCATACGAAACATATAAAGATTTCCGGTCATTTTTCACGAAATACATAGGCAACGCCTAGGAGCTTTCACAAACTCACTTGTGACACCGCCTGCGTTTAGGAAGTGAGCAAATGTAATGACGTGAGCCACGTGGAAGTCACTGTGTGGCTCAGCTTCAGAAGCAGGGATGAAATACAGACTCCAGACAAAGAAATTCCAGCCTGAGCTGGAGAGCAGGGTGGAATCCCGGTCCCTTTCCTGGCCCGCTGCCAGGAGGGAACGCGGCGCGCCCCACGCTCAAAGCCTTCCCGGGCTCCTGCGGCTCTGCTCGGTGCACTGCACGAGCGCCCGTGCAGCTGCGTGCCAGGAAGGTGCCACCGCGTGCGGGGCGTCACCCCGCAACGGAAAAGAGACCAAAAATAGAAGAGAACACGGGGAACTTAATGGCCTCAAATGTGACTATGCAAGCAAGTTTAAAAGCAAGCTTGCTGAAGCTTGATTTAATAAAAAACAGTTTGAAAGCGTTCCAGATGGAGGCAGAAGCCGTCCTGCAATGACGGCACTGCAGCTGCCCAGGGCAGCCCGTGCGCTCGGCTCCTCTGGACGCAGCTCGGCAGGCAACTCTGGTGCAAAAAGGCAAAGGTCCAAGTTCTTCTGGGGGCTCCACGTCTCTTGTGAGCTGGATGGGATGGCCCAACACACCCTGCCCCGTGACCCCGGCGCGAGAAACGGCTTCTCCAGCAGATGTTTGTCACTAGCGAGGGCTGTGGAGGCCGACGTCAGCGCTGCCAAGGGGCTGCCCGCCCGGCTGAGCCTCTGCCCTGCGACAGGAGGGAGCGACGGCACCAGGGAGCTACAAAGGGACCAGGGAGCTACAAAACCATCCCAGCAGACAGGCTGCCACGAGGGACAAGGGTTGCGAGGAGGCCACACCGAGCTAAGCCACCAGCACACGCAATCCGGGCCGAGGGAGCTGCGCCTGCCCTGGGGCTGCTGGGTTAGGGACACAGAACACGCGGGCCTCCGGGTGGCACCTGGAAAGAATCTGCTCTTTGAGACTCAAAATGGGCAGCTCAAACAGGAATAAACTGTTTGGAAAGCTGGATATTGCATACGCCTGGCTGATATGAACAAACAAGAGCTGCACAAGCTAAAGGATTTTCCAGTTTCACCCTTGCCGGAGTTCACGGTTCTGTCCGACAGTCTCGCACATGAGCGGCTTCGCAAGCTGAGTCATGCGAAATCAATCCCCAAGCCACCTGCGGCGCTCGGTGCCGAGAAGCAGCATGTGCGGAGGTGGGAGGAGGAGGAGGCTCCCGGGTGGCAGCGACCTGCTCCGCATTCCTCAGGACGGGTTTTACAAGCGCGGGGCGCCTGGTTTTGTCCCTGAGCAGAGCGCGGCTCGGCCCTGCCGAACAAGAGCGGGCTTGTGCCGCCACCACACGCGCTCGCAGCAGCGCCGCGGCAATGTGCAGTCCTGAGCAAGTTCACACTCGTCACTAACGTGAAAGGTCACGCACCTCCTCCACCCCTGTGTGCTCTGGGGCTCTCTGTAACACCATCACCTTAGAGCAGTTGAAGATCTTGGAGCTGCATACTAAAGCCTTAACAATCTTAATAGCAACCATTTATCTACTGATAAAGCTTCTTTCCCTTTTGACTCTGAGAAGATGCTCCTTTCTGCATCTGCCCTCGTCTTCAAGGGTCCTGCAAGAACGGAGCAGCGGAGCTGCTCGAGCAGCGCGAGGGCCCTGTGGTTGGTGCCTGTTGGCCCTTCTCCTCCTTGGCAGGGAACATTTGCACAGCCGGAGCTCTGCAGAGCCAGGAGGGAGATGGTGGCAGCTTGAACCTGCTCTACCCGGGGCCAAACGCCCCGCGGCAGAGCCTGCGGCACCGAGAGCAGCGCCGGGAACGCTGCCCGCACGGAGACCGGCACTTTTTAAAGGAAGACGCCGCACTTCATTCTCTGCTCAGACACTGAGTAAGCCCTTATTGAGAGCACATTCAGCAGAACGCATCACTGCGTAATTGGTAATTCCGAGAGACAGGCATTGCACTGGGAGGGCTGGGAAAAGGACACTGCTGCCTGAGGAGCTGCCCGCTCCTTGTCTGCTCAGCCAGCGCTGCTATTTAATTCATTTTCAGGTGCGCAGGGCAAAAGAGAGGAAATCCCTAGCTTTCTTGACATTAATGCTCTGTGATGTTGCTTCCTCGAGACGGAACTCCTTGGAGACAAAACCACAGCAAAACACAGTAAACAAACACCATGGAGCAAGGGGAGCACAGGCAGAGTCCAGTGGACATGGAGGATGCTTTACCTTCCTATAAGCCTCAGTGGATGCAGTTACACAAGAAGCCCCTCCTGTTTGGCCAGGAGCTGCCAAAGGGGCTTCACATACACAAGAGTCAGCCCGGGAAGTCTAGATATCCTGCAGCAGAGGAGTTTGGATAGGGACCTTTACTCTAAGCCACAGCAGGAAAAGGTGCCCAAACCCCGACAAGCACCGCAGAGCAGGTCAACAGCAGAGGGGGTTCTGCTGCAGAATGGTGTCGCAGACGCTGTTCAGGGAAGATCAGAGCGAGCGTGGGCCAGGGGCCTCCGCAGAAGGCAGCTCCCAGCATGGCCAGAGCCCGCCGGGCTGCTGCAGCCGCATCCTCTGCTTCTGGCAACCACCTCCACCCGCAGCCCGTGGCTTTTCCAGCTTGCTTCTTCAGAGGAGAGCCAGTATTCCAGCCTCTGGCACCACGCCGAGAGCGACCTTGCCCAACACACGCGGCCCCTCCACGATTCCGCGGAGTCACCCTGAAAGCCACATTCCTAAGATGACTGCTCGCCTCTCTCCTTCAAAGCAAATCATTAACAGAACGAGCCAGTTGTGAGGTGTTATCAGGAAGTTTATTGGCAGAACATTCTTCCTCTGCATGCCAGTCAGAGATGGAGGCAACCTGCTGCTAATGCATTATTTACTTCAGCTTTATCTCCCTGAAACAGGAGCTTATGTCTGGAGCCAGCCACATGCTCACTAATAAGCACCAGTGTTTCCTCCAGCACAGCCGAACCTCTCCTGAACAGGGACGCTGTCTGCACACCCGAGAGCTCTCTACCTAAAACACTGTCACAACAACACGTTTTTTTTTGTGGAAAAGCAACAGCCCTAACGATCTGTCAGCATCTGAGGGCAAATTCCAGTCACTTGTTCTGCCATTACAGACTGCATTCCCTGGCAGGGAAGTTAAACCCGGAAATCAAGCTGCCACTAATTAGAATCCAAAGTAAGCTCTGGAATAAAAGGGGCTGCTGGAAGAGATGAAAGAGCCTAGTCCGTCCCGAGAGGGAAACTGCTTCCCCGTAGCAGCAGCGGGACACGGGACCTGAGTATCGCTCTGCTCGGTGGGAGAGCCTGGGCACGCAGCAAACTCCTCTTTAGCCACCACCAGCAGAAGATGCTGCAAGAGGAGATTGCAGGCGATTAGGTGACCATTTCATGCTGGATATGGCCCAGCCCGACAGCCAGCCTGGGGGGAATAAACTGCTTGTGGTATCAAAATCAAAACACATTTTGTGTGTTTTTATTTAGGCTGGGGCTGAAAAAGCACAGCAGTTAAATACTGTCCTTTAGTCGAGAGTCCTCATCCCTCTGAAAATGGAAAGGGCAGACAGCAAAGCTGGAGGGTGGCTCTGCAGCACGTGCAATGCATTTGGCCAGATTCTGACCTCAACGTTCAGCAGCTCCTCCTAAGGGAAAGGAGCTACCAAAAGACACATGGATAAAAGCAGAAGCTTTAGGTTCCAGCAGTTACAACCAAGCAATAATCAAGGTGCTGGTCCCAAAATACCAAGGCTGGTTTCACATAAGCACACGCGACAAGACTGCCTTTAGGTGGGTGAAGGAGAGGGGAGTCCATGAAGCACCTCAGCCAGATACCATCACGCTCAGCCACTCCTTAGCCACCCACCCTCCAATGGCATCAGAGCTTGCTCATGAGGGAGTCATGGATCAGCTTGCAACTTTTTTCCTTTTTGGGAATTTGTGCCATGTTGAGCTTGCAATTTCCCAACTGCTTACGGTAGACTGCAGTTAAAAGGGAGCCACACTGGCGGGTCACAGTAAGTGAACTCAAGGTCTAGCTCCAGCCTCATGTCAAAGCAGCGAGATGAACGACACCTCTATGGCCCTGTGTACTCATACACCACTGCTTAGGACCACACTGTCAAAACAGAGTCAAAACCTACCTCTTACAATTAAAGTTAGGAGGAGAATTAGAGGATACAGGCAGAAGGCATGTAGTAGAGGCATTACTGATCTGCTGAATGCTCCAGCAACCTATGAACTCTCTCTCACACCCTCTCTCCACAGCTAGGGTATTCAGAAGGCACTTGAAAAAAAATCATTAAAAATGCCATGGAATTTATAATAATTGGATTATATTAAATAGCTTCCTAATTGCCACCTCACCTGCATATTCCAGTGTGAAACATTCCTCAACCCCTTTATAGTGTGTTTTTAAAAGAAGGTCTAAACGATCTGGCAAAAAGAAGAAAATCCAAATCCAACTATGTGCTCAGAGAAGTGAGATCTGACTAATAGCAACGTGCAGTTTAGAAGTGCTGCTGGCTCATACCAAGAACATCGCATAGGCTGGCACATGTCAGGAAGGAGGAAGCCTAAATTTGAAGTTTGGAAACATGTTGGAAGCACTCACAGAAAACAGATGCAACTCCCTGATCCACCTAAAACAGAGAGACGTATCACAACAACAACAAAGCGGCCAGATGCTTTGAAGAGTCAGCCTGGAGCTTTGGAGAGGCATTTGTGAAGGCTGAGAGTCACTAAACTTCAAACACTGCACGTGCTGCTCTTGTCCTGCTTTGCCCAGGCCACAGCTGCTTCAGTGGGTCACAACTAATTCCCTTGCATGGCTGCAGTTGAATTTTGCTCATCAAACAAGATTTAAGCAGGATATTTTACACACGGAGCACAAAAACTGCAAAACTTGCTCCCATCACATGCTATAGAGGCCAAAGTCTAGTCAGGACTACTAAAAAGCAAGGACAGCAACTCTCCTTCAGCTCAGAAGTCCCTAAACCTCAGACTGCCAAGCAGTGCTCAAAACAAAGTCAAATAGACTAGACTGACTTCCCCTCTGAAAAACAGCAGCTATTTTAACTTGCTACTTGCATGAAGCAATTCTGTCCCACAAAGTCCCTCTCCCATAAACAGACCTGAAGCTGCAGCATATAAAGGGGGCTGACTGGAAAGCAGGAGCAAAGTGAACAGGGGTTTTTGAGTCCAAGGCTGACTTATCAGCTGGGACACTTCAAAAGAATCAGACTCGGAATCTTTTATCTGTGAAGAATGGTTAAATGGAAAAGTTTTAAACACTTTACAGACAAAGAAATGCCCATTTGCATCTTATCTGGGCAGCACTCTGACCTCCTCCCTCCAAAAAGCAAGCACCAGATGACTCACCTGTCAGAATAGTCTGGAAGGCAGCTTCCACATTTGTAGAGTCTAGAGCAGACGTCTCAATAAAAGACAAACCATTCTTCTCTGTGTGGAGAGAAACACAGTAATTAGAGGGAAGCACCATTTATCTTTCCCCTGTCTGGAAGAACTTCTGTATCAGACTGTGCATGGGATGTTCCTCCTAAGTCATGTGGTACCAGGAAAAAGGATTGGAAGCTGTGGGGTTATGTGATCTCAAAGCAATGCCACCCAATGCTGACAGCTGAATTTACACTCATCCGAGGCACGGGGATCAGTTCAGCGCTGGGTTACTTTGAGGCGTATCTATCTTCATGCATCACTGACAGGGAGAATTTACAGCACTTTCAGGAAATGCGTGAGGAAGTTTCCTATATTATCTTTAACCTCATCAAGTTTCACCGCTTCCCACTTAGTTAAATAAAACCCTGCGCCAAAGCAAACGTCTCAACCCATTGTTTTGTACAGCTTGGGCACAGGAAGGCTCAGCGTGAGCTGCACGAAAGCTCCAGGCTCCTCCCCAGGCTGCCTCTCCCACGAGGAAGGTACTTGGGAACCTTGAGCTCAGGTGACATGAGGGTGCACGTTTCAGTGAAGACACGGCCGTCTCAGTCCCACACAGGGCTCAGAAAAAACAAGGGCAAGCAGAGTTGCATTTTGCTTTTAAGAGCTCTGAGGAGCTGTATTTCCCAGCCTTTTGGCTTTATTGGTAGTTAACCAAAAGCACGATGTGAAAAAGTATTTTTGCAAGTATATCACAGCAGCTAATTTAATAAAGCTAGCTATATAAAGGGGAAGGATAGTTCTACATCTGCAGGCAGACACCTCGCTGGTCATAAACGCCATATAAACAGCTACAAAAACCTTCAATGCAAGAAACACAGCACTACGCTCCAGGATGAAGGAAATCGGCCCTGAAACGAGCTAGGATTTACAGAAACTACAATAACCTTTAAAATTATTTTTACAAGGTTAGCTCTTAATTATGAAAGGTAGACTGCATTGTGTCTCCAATTAGAAAGCCTGCTCACCTAACAGCACAGGCTCAGGGTTTGAGAACAGCTGATACAAAGAAAACAACACACAGATGGTAATGTTACCACGATGCAGCAGGCTCAAACCTAAAGCCATAGCTGCAGTTTCTGTGAGAAAAGCAGTCCATAGGCGTGAGACTAAAGCTGGCTTAAAACCAGCTTCAGTGCCTCTGGCTGGTTCTTGAAATTGCATCAGCATTTTCATTTTACCAGGCTTCATTTTCAACTGTGTAAAAACACGACAAACATTAGCCTACATCACTGATGAACATCACCAGCAGCAATCCTGCCCTCCTACCTGGACGCACACGTAACTCAGACACTGTACGAGGGAGGCAGATCCCCAGACAGTCGGCATTAGGGAATGATTTTGAGTTCACCAACCTGCAAAAGCTCTGGCCTCATCCGTAGGGACCGCTCTCAGGTGGCGCAGGTCACTCTTGTTCCCCACGAGCATGATCACTATGTTGCTGTCAGCGTGGTCGCGCAGCTCTTTCAACCATCGCTCCACGTTCTCGTAAGTAAGGTGCTTAGCAATGTCATAAACCAGGAGTGCCCCTACAGCACCACGGTAATACCTGCGAGTAAAAACAATGCGTTAGAGAGTCATCGAGAAGCAGCATGAGTAAAACTGACTGCTTGCAGGGCAATAATGGGAAATAGCTATGACTGAGACAGCAGCTTAAAGAGCATCCAGGGGCAGGGTTTGGGGGACACAGGCAGTTGATGTACAGCAGAAACTGGGTTATGTCACAGGACCACGAGAGTTGTGGGGACTGCTCAGAGTTTGTGGGTAACCTGAGCCCAGGCCTGAGGGCACCACTGTTAAGTTACCCTGGGCCATGTAGGTGAAGCAGGGGGATCTATAGGGAGCTACTGTCACCTTCTACCTCTGACCCACTCCTGAAAATTCTCCCCTCCCACTGCACTGGGTACCAGGGCAGGGCCTGCAGTGATACAGAGACTTTGAAGTGACTCATAGGAGCAGAAAAACACCAACCCTTTAAGCAAGGCTGCAGCTAGTCTCCTTTCAGACCCACAGTGGCACAGTGACATATTCAAGAAGGAAGAGGTTGCATTTTTCCCACACTTGATTATCTTCAGCTTTTGCCATGCTACTTTTTCAATTAAATTAGCATGCAAAAGGAGCAGTCTTTCCTTAGCACTACATTAGTTTCTGGTTTTTAGTTACCACTCATAGAACCTTAATGAATACAGTACTGTTTTATCAATTACTAGTATTTAAAGAAGTCTCTCAAAGGTCGTCTTTCACCCCGGGCCAGAAGTACCTTCAGTTATATTGTGAGAGCACAAAAAGTAAAGCAATTTGTGCAGGTCTACGCTATGTCAACCTTCGGGACAGCAGGGTAAGACTCCGGCTTCCTTCCCTGGTAAGTTGTGAATATTATATAATAAAATACAAACATCCAGAATACTCCAAGGAAGCAGAGGCCCAAAAATTACCTCCCTCCACAAAAGCTTGTCTTTGGCAATACAAACTATCACTTACGCCGATGTTATAGCTCGATACCGTTCCTGCCCTGCTGTGTCCCAAATCTGAGCCTTTATTGTCTTCCCATCAACTTGAATGCTCCTTGTGGCAAACTCCACTCCAATGGTGCTTTTGCTTTCCAAGTTAAACTCATTGCGAGTGAATCGAGACAGAAGGTTACTCTTGCCTACTCCAGAGTCTCCAATAAGCACAACTATAAGGCAAGAAAAATGACATTACAATCAGATGCAGGTCACACATTGAGAATCATCAGTAATAAACATACTCATCTTCCAGATGAAGAAAAACATAGCAAAATATTGCCTCCTTGTCATGGGTTTATTCTCCATGATTTGCGGTTATTAGAGAACCAGTTCTGCCAGATTCACCAGTATTTTGAACAGACTCTGGACTGGAATCTTAGTCACTGTATTTCAGTCTCCTTTGCCCAACCCTGAAGGACATTCTTCCTCCCGGAAGAGTACACATGGCTCACTGCAAAAGTCAGCACTTCACAAGCGACAGTTTGGATTTCACACGCTTGTAATAACGCTAGAACTAAAAGTCAGCTGAAGCTCTTATCAGTTAGCTGTTTTGCTGAAGCAGAAGTCCAAAATGCAGTGCAAGATAGCAGGCTTTGCCTCCCTCTCACTCTTCAGGCCTTTGCAGAAGAGAGGTTCTCCACTAGCACAGGCAAATTCGTAACTGCAGAAAAACAACAACCCAGACTAGCGCTGTGACTCCTGAGGGCTTCGGGCCAGAGCCTGAAGTGGCTCCGAAATGAGGCCGGGACTATCATTTCTGGCTCTGAATGAGAGCCACCCTCATTCCGGCTGAACCTCCGCTGCCACGATGGGTGCTAGGGTTAACAGGAGATTGATAGAGTTTAAAGTCCGAAGTAAAAAAAAAGACCCATGATTCATTTTAACATCCTGTAAAGCTGAGTCGTAAAAGCTGAGTGTAACATAAAACTCACTACCAAGACACCAGAAGTTAGGCCACTAAATGAGACACACCGAGGCACAGGCCACACCAAGAGCAGCCTCCCCAGATGATCTCACACACAATGAAAGATTAAAGGCCTGAACTGATAACAGGAGAAGGAAATGGAGGAGAAAGAGGATGAGTAAGATCCAGGAGAAAAAAGGCGATAACCTTCATTAAGTTGGCAGTAAATCAAGGGTAGACCAAGGAAAAGTGTCCACACTTGAGTTAAAAAAAAAAAAAATGGCAGGAGTGTTTGTTTTGAAAAGAAAAAATAGTCACAGACATGATTTGAGACACTGTAGTACAATGCTATGAAAGCTGCCTGGTACCACAAATAAATGAGTGCAATGAACAGGAGAAGCTTCACCAAACCCGAGGCCAGAGGAGCAAAACCTCCCGTCTGCTGCAGGCAGCTCCAATCCGCAGCCTTCTGGACACCATCTTCTATTTCAATAATGCAGAGCGCTTCTGGCAAATGGAATTTTCCTTGACTCTAGCACCAGAGAGGCACTTTTTAAACTCCATCCACAATATGAAATTTGAAGCAGGCGCTGGCTTCAAAACAGTCTTGTACTTCATTGAAACAAGCACCTTTCCAGCTCGCTCTGCCGGCCGACGGAGCCAGCAGCTGGGCAAGCTGCAGGAGCTGCACCGCCCGCAGCCGCTTCTCTTTACGGAGGTGACAAGCGGGTAGGTGACATGTGGCTCTGCTGAACACAAACACTGTCCTGCTTTCCTCGTGACAGGGCAGCGCGGTTTGGTGCCAGCTGCCTCGACACAGAAGAGGCCGAGCTAATAAACTCGGCGCTGGGGACAGGGCACTGAATTGCATCATCATCACTGGCAAAATGCCACAGGGTTCCACTTGCACTGGCAAGGAAATAAGACCTTCAAAGCTGCTTTGGCAGGTTTGGGCCACAGCTTTGCATTTGTGACAAGGAAGTTCCCGGCAGGAAGACTTGGGAAGTCCCTCAGCACCCATTTACCTTGTGTTCCTGCAGGCACCCTGGCTAGGCCAGAGGCTAAAGGGACGCCCTTCACCCAAATCATTTATCCAGCACATTGCATCATAAGTCTATTAAGTAGCAATATCAATTAGTTTAGCAGTATCTCCTCACAAATATTTTGCTATTCAATGCATCTTTAAAAGTAGTTTTGAGGAGAGAGGCTATTTTAAGTCCTTCACCAGATTTTTCTTACCTTGCCCAAATCCCATGTTGCTTTTGTTCTGAACAGTTTCCAGCACCAGATTAATCTATGTCCCACTTAAGGAGGGGAGGGGATGGAACATTAGGCTTTCCTTCTCAAAACCTGATACTTCCTCCATTTAACTGGGCCACGGCAGCTCCTCTCACGCACGGGCACGAGGACGGATGCAGATGTCAGCAGGAGCCCGACACTCCGCACATCCTCCCTGCTCCTGCCAGGCTGAGCAAACATCACTCTTTGGAAATAATTACGAGCTGAAACAGCTCTAGCAGTCTCCCCATTTTAATTTTGCTTTCCTTCTCAAACTATCTCAGTTTGATATTTCATACTATATAGCACTCCCATATATTATATTTTTAGCCTAGAAACACTAGGAATAACCTGGGATTAACCCATTCTGGCTGTCCCAGACAAACAGTTTCAGGGGGCTGAGGGATGGCAATCATGGCATCTAGTTCCGTATTAAGGCTAATTGTTCCTGCACACACAATCCTATTGGGCTCCTCTTCCAGAAATTCACTCTTAATACTGCCATCCAATTTTCAGGAGAAATTAGTGGTCGGCCGATCGTGGTATTTGTGTGCCAGCGCTGTCCATTAGCTTATTAGTTTCTTCTCCCAGCGGTGTTTACACTGGGTTATTTACAGACAGCAACCACATCTTCTCTCAGCCTTGCTCTGCTAGCTAAATACACCAACCTCTCAAATGCTTCACTGTGAATAGTCTTTCCAGCTACCCCAGCATTGTCCTGCAAGTATTTTGATTTATTTCTCTTCCACAATGAGAACTGCATCCAATATTCCAGGTGAGATATCATTCGTGATATATAGAGGGATTTTAATATTTCCAGCTCTACTACAATTATTTCGTCTCGGTGGCTTAGTCAGCTTGTGATCACACCTAATCGTAGCAGCTTTCAGGTGTCAGGTTTTTATTTTACTAAGCTTTTAGTTTACCGAGTTCGTACAGCCCCGTGCATAAGACCTCGCGTTCTGAATCGCGCTGCACAGACAGGACTGCAGTCATCTTCATCGCCCAGTCTTCCTCCTAGTCCTGTGCTCTGATCCTCCTCTGCACTGACACCGCCACCAGCCAATTCATTACCACATCAGCACTAGAAGGATTGAAGTTTAGAGGAAGTTTCGAGCAAATTTAGACACAAGACCAATCCTTGAAAAACTCCCTCAATAACCTTCTTCACCTCCCTTAGACCACTAGCACTTTTTTTGCTTCTTTTTTAAAGGCTTTTGTAATCAGGCGAGATTTATATTAGGACATCTTTCAAAAAATTGAGACTATCCAAAGTGAATTTTCCCTCCCTCCTGCCCCAGTTGACTGAAGTAGGTCATCTTTACTGGTTTAAGGATGTGCCAGTTCAATATTTGTCACAATCTCCTTTAAATCAATGTATTTAGTCCTCACCCACACAAAGATTTCTTAAAGACAAGTATTTGGTGGGCAAAAGGAATATGAAGCAGTCTAGGCTACTGTAGGAATTTCATTCTGTAAGTTTTAGTCTTAGAGACCCCCTTAGAGAGTGTCTTAGTGTAGGGGATATTCATTACCCATATATACTATTATATATGTAACAGAGCGGGGCCTCTAGGTGCTACTGTAGTAAAGCAGAAAAGCAGGTAGGTTTGCTGCAGCACAAAGGTGCCTTTACATCAAACACAGCGAAAGGCGCAGGGCATGCAAGCATTTTACAGAGCAGTGCCTCTCATTGAACCCTTTTTCCTTACATATTTCTATAATCAAAGGGCACAAGACGAAAACACATGCTTCAAATCCAAACCAACAGGTCCGCACAGTTTCACAGCATTTCTTCAATACCAGACAAGCTGGATAAATGTGCAAGATGTAAAGTAGGAGGTAAGTACCTAAAACTGGAGGGTATTTTTCTAACAGGCAGCTGACTGACGCTGCAAGTCAGGTCTGCATTCAGAAACAAGAGGTTTAGCCCCAAAGCCAGAGCTGCAGACAGTCAGGGTACAAATCTAAGCCCCTCCAGCTCTGCTCAGGAAGAACTCTTCTACAAGTGAGGTTGCATACAAGGATGGAAGAATACAAAGAGGCATGGAGATGGACAACCAGAATTTACCAAAACCGTGCCTTTTTAGCATATGCTAAGCCTCAGCGTAGCCAGGAGGGCATTTTGTAGCAGGTGCTCCAATTTAATAGTAGGACGGCATAGGTAGGTTCAGATTACACCCACCAGCACAGTCAGACAGGCTGTAACACACAGCCACTGTCAGCGGCTGACAAAGCAAAACCAGAGGTCTCCAAGAGCCCAGTGGCAGTTTAATTCAAGGGTAGTAAGGGCCAGCTAGACTGCAGACTATCATCCCATTATTTTAAAGCAAGTCAAACCGTGAACTCAGCCTCAAATTATCACCAGCTTTAAAGTTCGTAAACTCGACGGAACAGTCCTCGTGGATTAAGTGTCCTTAGAGACCAACACCCTGTCCGACAGCAGCCAAGAGCAGATGCCTGAGAAACATTATGAAAAGAGAACAAACAAACTTATCTTTGTCCCAGCAGGTCCTAACATCTCCAAACAAGCAGTACCCTCAGTCTTTCCATTCTTACCATCACAATAAAAATGCCTCAGATATTTTTCTTCCCCTATGAATCTGAAACCTTTCAAAGCCAGTTACACCTTCTGTTTACGACAACGAACTGCTCCAGAAGTTACACATGCCTTTCATAAGGCTTTACTTCCCTTTGTTCGAGCCTGCTGATGAATAAAAGCAGCATTAAGATTATCCAAAGAAATTACAAGAAACAGAAGGCAATCATTCCCTGTTTGTCTAGATCACTCATTTGCATTCTGATAAAGCTGCACTTCATTTCACATTAAGGCATATGAACGCTTTAGTTCTCTCACAATTATTGTGATGCCTTTCCCTCTCTTTTTAACTGTCATATCCCCTTCAAAATGGGTATGACCGTCCTGCCTACGTTTCCCTCCACTCCCAAAGAAGCTCTTGTCTCAGATTCAAACAAGGGCATAGTATTCCCATTAAGTTCTCGGTTCCTC